TGGCTAGTGGCTACCGTATCAGCACAGATGTAGAGCCTGATAGGCCATGCTAAGGGCTGGGAATTCATGAGTGAGATGGGAAGCCACTGGAGGGTACTGAAGAGAGAAGTGATGTGATTTGATTTAGGTTTAAAGGATCATTGGTGATGCTGTTTGCAAACAGACTATTAAGTGTTTGTGGGGAGTGGGCGGTACAAGAGTAGAATTAGGGGCTGGGAGAAGACAGTGGTTTGGACTAGAGGGGTAGCAATGCAAGAGGAAAGAAGAAGTTGGATTCAGAATATTATTTTGATATACACATAATTTATACGTAGATGCCATAGGTTGAAACGTAGTACAAATGGAATAAACCTCTAATATTCATACACTTACATTTTTTTTACCAGTGCTACCTGATTCAAGAGTATATAAGACCCAAGCTGTATGTCCCAATTCCTTTCAAGATAATCATGAAATAATGGTAACACCTCTGAAGTTTTATGAGACAATTCCTTTATAGAATCAGGCCTTTAACTGTACACAGTAAAAGAGCAGAAATGATTTTTGAATCTTAATACTTAATGATATAGACTTAGTATTTTCTCATTATATTTTACTTTAATAAACATAAAAAGGCAAATATAACATACTAACCTTAATAAAAATGGATCTTAACTGTAGAGCCACTAGCTTCTTTGAAGGTAATGAATATACTACAAAGACACGAAAAAAATGAAATCATACGATAGGTAAAATGAAAGAGTGATACAAGTGAAATTATTAACATGATAAAAAATTATAATTGAATTATAAGGACTTTTGTATCTAAATATTTTCAATAATTAAAATATAGAGCCAGCCCTGATGGCCTAGTGGTTCAAGTTTGGTGTGCTCCGCTTCAGCAGCCCAGGTTTGGTTCCCAGGCGCGGAACCGCACCACTCGTCTGTCGGTAGCCATGCTGTGGCGGCAGCTCACATAGAAGAACTAGAAGGACTTACAAGTAGAATATACAACTATGTACTGGGGCTTTGGGGAGGAAAAAAAAAGAGAGGAAGATTGGCAACAGATGTTAGCTCAGGGTGAATCTTTCCCAGCAAAAAAAAAAATAGAACATATGCACTACACCATTTGGTAAAAATAAAACGTCTTAGAAGTACCTTAAAATGCATCTGTGGGCTTTATTTTATGGAATAGATTCATTTCTGAAAAGTTAACTGTAAGAAAATATCAAAAATTATTTTTCTTCTGACTTTGATTGTAAAACCAGAGAAGTATTCCCCTGGAAACTTCTGGCATTACAACAAATAAAATCATTCTTAAGAATGTTTTTGGTTTCTGATATTCTCCCCTCTTCTTTCTACAAAACAGCAACACTCATTGGGATTAATACAATAAAATGCAGGAAAATGTTAGCCATATAATAAAATCCCTGGAATAGGTACATTTGTGTTTTTTAGGAGTTTTTGAAAGCCCTGAAATAACATGCAGAATTTTCTGTGAGTCAATGTGTGTGCATTTTTTCTGGGAAAAGAATCCACAACTTTCATCAGATTCTACAAGAGGCCCACTTTACTGATGCTTAAGATGTCCCTGCTCAACTTCACTTCCAAAAATGAGAAGCTCTGATATGAACCAAAGACGAAACATAGAGTCTCTAAGGGACACATGATTAGGTCATTGTGCTAAGGGGTAACCTTTTAGTTACTATAAAAAAATTACAACTAACCCCAGACTCGGGCAAATCTTCTGGTGGACCATGTCTCTCCTGTTACAGGTCTTTTGGGGAATGTCCCCTTCGACTGCTGTGGTGTGGTGTGAGGTGACTGGCGGCCACGCAGCATCAGCAAGTCTAGTGACCACTACGTATGTTCAAGGCAAAGGAGGCTAGAGCAGGAGTTTAGGAATTAGGGAAAAGGGACTAAGGCACAGGCCACTCAGGCCTCTAATCTATCTCTGACATACACATACAACAGACCTAGTGGGAAGAGGATATATCTGTAGGGAGTGGTCAGGCTAAGCTTTGAAATGTAAGATACACCACTTTCTATAACAGCAATAGTCATGTTCTTCATCAGTGTATCATGCAATTCTTTTTTGTTATTAAGATCCTGTTTCCCAGTACTTTTTTCTTCTGATGTGATGAAACATCATCTTTCATGTATTCTGGCCAAAAATATTTAGCTTTTATCTAATCAAGGCTTTAGACCTAACTCCAGTTACAGAAAATAGAGAGACCAGAGGAACAAGCCAAATGACACCACAAGGATGTAACCAGACAAACAGAGAAGGGGGGACATTCTATAGGACAATGGGTCCAGTTTTTCCTTCAACAAATCAGTTTTGGGAAGAAGGAAAAAAAAGAAAGACTTTTCTAAAGTAAAAGAGATTTCAAAGGCACAACAATCAGATGTACTACGGGTCCTGGTTTAGACAAGCTAACTCGAAAGGACATTTTGGGGTAAACTGGGCCAATCTGAATATGGATAGGATATAGGAAAATATTAAGAAATTGCTAATTTTGTTAAATGGGATGATATTTTGGCTATGTAAGAAAACGTTCTTAAAAGATAAGAGATGCACACTTACATATTTGGGGGTGGAATGACACGATGTCTATAATTTACTTCAAAATACCTCATCTTAAAAAAAAAAGCAGATTAAAGAACTATACCCAACTGACCTGCTGCCAGTTTGTGTCAGAGGAAAGCCGGGGGGTCCTCCACTAGAGGCAACATGCATTAGCAGGGTGGGGTGGTGCTTAAGAGGCAGGGCTCAGGGGCCAGACTGGCTTGAATAGAAGCTCAGTTACACGAATTATTAATCACGTGGCCTTAACTTGTGTGCAATGGTTTCCTCAACTACAAAACTACCTATGGAGTAGCAGTGAGGATTAAACTAATCAATACATGTAATTGCACAAGGTGGTCAGCTGATAGGAAATACTCAACAAATGATAGCTGTTATCAACAGTGGAAGAATGTAAATTCTAGTTCTACCATTTATAGTCCTTATCCTTTAAGAAATAACTGAAATTCAGTCTTGTGTTAACAAAGCCATTTGTCCTGCAGGAATTTCAATATTAAGGTTATTTCTTGAAAGTATATTTCATTATCGAAAGTTGATGACATGGTTAACAAAACTGACAAAAAATAAAACGCTTCTTCACTTGTCTTTCACTCCACCAAAGGTTTTTCATGTTCCTCTATCACTTCTGGCTTTCACCTTAAAATGGTAAACAGAAGACAGAGAGGCCAACAGAGCAGCCAGCCATCGAATGAAGTGACCGATGCTCCTGGGCTTCAGGATCAACAGCTTTTCCCCTCACTCGGGGCAGTCCCACATCGTACACACAGTGGTCAGCGCAAAGGAAAGCGTTCCCTGACTAACCAAGCTTGCTAGTCCAATGAGGAACTATGGAGATTTATGGTGTGGGAAAAGCCTACACCTACTAGGAGTAGTAGGCAAGTCAGTCTCTCTGGGCCTTACTGATACCATAGTATTATGGATTCTATAAGAATGTGAGGGGGCCGGCCCTGTGGCTTAGCGGTTAAGTGCGCACGCTCCACTGCTGGCGGCCCGGGTTTGGATCCCGGGTGCGCACCGACGCACCGCTTCTCTGGCCATGCTGAGGCCGCATCCCACATGCAGCAACTAGAAGGATGTGCAGCTATGACATACAACTATCTACTGGGGCTTTTGGGGAAAAAAATAAATAAATAAATTAAAAATTAAAAAAAAAAAAAAGAATGTGAGGGATGACTATGAGGCTTAGATGAGGCAGCACATATTAAACTCACAGGACTGAGCCCAGCGGAATTCTCTTTTCCCCTTTCCCTGGTATAGGTCATGCTTACATGTGCCAGTGAGAACAGAAAATAAAACTGAGGATAAAAGTGGAAAAAAAACTCATGTTAAAAAAATGGAAATCTCAAATCCTATCCAAAGATACAAGTACGATCTCATCCCTCATAGGAGGTGCCATTTAGAAAAGGCTAAGAACTAAAACCAGGATGTAAGAGAATAGGACAATGTGACTGTGTTGCAAATTCTGCACAAAACTGGCACTAAGTAATGTTTGCTACAAAACAGTATCTGTAGCGTCTATTTCTAATTTAAAACAACTCTACCTTGTAGTAGAATAAAACATGCAGAAGTGTTACATACCTTCAGCATTTGTACTGAGTTCCGTTGAATTTTCTTCTGCAGTTGCATACGGATTGTTTCCAACCATCGGCACAAGACAATCGGTATAGAAGTAACCAATCTTACACATATTCAGTGTAGAAATAATCAGATCTACTGCAAGCTGGCCAACATTTCCAACAGACACAGCTGGCTGAAATAATAAAATATGTTCATTAAGTCATCAAAACTAGCAGCACTTTTAAAAGTTTAGACATGGGCTGGCCCCGTGGCTTGGTGGTTAAGTTCGCGCGCTCCGATGCTGGTGGCCCGGGTTC